GTTATATCAGTTTTGGTAATATTTGCACAATGGGCATGGATCAGTAAAATGACAAAACACTCATTGATCTAAAAAAAATCTGGACGGATAACAGAAACAGAAACAATAGAGAGAATAACAACGAAATTTCTCCAACGAAATCTCTTAGAAAGCTTTATCGTATCCTCTAATGTTTAACACAAGTTATTTTCATCAGAAAATACACTAGAGATGTACTTTAAATTTATCATGTACAGTTGCTTGAAGTGGCAGACTTTTTGAGATACTTCGACGTACGACCTCTGGTAAATGCCAACATAATCAGACTACTCTGTTCTTAAGCGTGTGCATAGTGCTTCTTAAATCACGGTCACTAGAGATGACCAAGATGTTGCATGTGAGACCCTCACGATGGCCAACACTAGTTGGGTATGAACTCATAGCTTGTGATTGTAAATGTGCGGAGATGCCCGGGTCCGAGGCCCTTGAGTAGTTCAATGTGCGGAGATGCCCGGGTGTAACAAGTTTCTTACAGTCACAATATGATATTCTGCTCCGATTCCGTTTATGAGCGTCGTAGTTCTTGACTCTCTTTCAAACAGAAAATGTGCCTACTCCATATAACCCCAACAGCCTATACTTTCTCCCTGAACGCGTCCTCAGTGCAGCTACGAGATCCTAAATCGTATTCTCAAAGTCCATTAGAGCATAGACCCCCAAGCGGCGATCTTTGTCAGATAGATTAATCTTAGGACCAAACCGGGGAGAAGGTATGATCTTCTGAAAAGAAGAGGATATGCTCGTCGTTTCAATCGCTTTGTTATCCACCAAATTATTTGTTGAGATTAAGGGATAATTTATTAGATAACAAAGAAAAAGACTAAAACTAAACATGTTAAATCACATGAGATAACTAAAAAGAAATTATGGTATGTGATGTTCACTTTGAAGAGCAGGTCCCATGGTGAGAAAATTTTCATCGTGAAAAGTTTGAAATAGACTGTTTTTTTTGTAGGTGAAAATTAACTTATGTATTGAAATTTTTTGTAGGTGAGAACCATGACAAATTGGTTTCTCTTTAAACTTTTGTAGGTGAAAATGGAGATTGGAAAAACAATTATGTCAAGAAAAGCAAAATTAGTCAGTGTGTTTGCAACAAAAAAAATACAAAAAAAGCTAGAAAAAAAGAACACGAAGCAATTCAATCTTTGATTATGAAAATAGAGCCAAAAAAACACATCTACAGTGATTCCAATCTCCTAAAGTCTCACTTATCAATAACCTAAACTTGGACAAACTTTGTACAACATCATTATCAATTGCAGACTTACCAGCGTCAATAGTAGGAGACCTTATCACCAATCTAGAAAATTGTAGACTTACTTGTGTTTTTGGTGATATGTATATGTGAATGAATCAAAAGTCTAGAAGATAGAGTTTAACATTAATAAAAGAAATCCGTGAGTGGTATTTTGTGGAAACAAAGTTTCAAAATGATATCTAAAAATCAATTACCTGAATATAATTATAAGAGATTTGGTTTAATATTCTAAAAATTTTATCAAAATTAAGAAATAACCCATAGAGTTGCCCTTAAATTAATATCATGTGATTAGTTTTTCATTATCAAAATTAATTTATAGGTTTGATTTATTTAGGATATTTTGGTAATTTCCAATGTAAAAGAAATTGGTTTTCAAAATATTTTCAATATATGAGTTACTTTTCACAATACCTCAAATTATTATTTTTTCATTTTTTTCTTTATAATAAAAGAGAAATTGGCAAGGATAACCAAGAAACAAAAATACCACTTAATAACTAACCAAAACATCTTATGTAACACTATTTATATCCA